CTCTTTTGTGTTACGACACATTGAGTTTGATAACAAGTACACTACAATTAAACATTATTCCTCCTGGAACGATACTTTTAACTCACTATATTATTGCTTGTCAACGATTCGCTTGCGAAATTTTATCGAACATTGTCCAATGCACTTCAATATTATGTCATTGATTGACCAACAGATAAATGCCAATTTGTTAGTTGACGCAACAAGCAGAAAACCAAAAAGTCCATAACCCCCAAAAACAAAGCATCTTTAAATAAGAATTCAACATTTTCCTAGAGCTTTAGATAAAAGTATAAATACCAAAATGGATTGGAAGAGGTCAAAATGCTAGCATGAAATGATTGTTAAAAATCATCCATGGACCCAAACTGGGAATTTTCAGTTAGGTATGTATATAATCACAATATGCCCCTTTCCTGCACCGCCCATTTCCATTGTATGGACATACTTTCTGCCTCCTGTTAAAAGGTCTAGGCCCCGCTCTACCAAAAGAGGGCTGTCCGTTCCAAGGCCTTCCGCCACTAAAACCACCTGAGAATGGACCCCCATTGGGGTTTTGTTGGCCACCCCACATACCCTGGGCCACGGCTGGTGCACCCCAACCTGGATTTGAATTTCGTTGCGGTGGCCCTTGAAGAGGAGCTCCGACTCCAGGAGGTGGTGGCCCCTGAACAGGAGCTCCATTTCCTGGTGGTGGCGCCTGAACAGGAGCTCCCATTCCTTGTAGTGGCCCCTGCACAGGAGCTCCCATTCCCACAGGTGCTCTTATTCCTGCTGGTGGACCCCATCCAGGTACTGGCCCTTGAAGTTGAGCTGCTGTTCCTGTATTGCCATTTGGAGCACTCCAACTTTGGTGGCCCTTGAAGAGGAGCTCCGACTCCAGGAGGTGGTGGCCCCTGAACAGGAGCTCCGACTCCAGGTGGTGGTGGCCCCTGAACAGGAGCTCCATTTCCTGGTGGTGGCGCCTGGACAGGAGCTCCCATTCCTTGTAGTGGCCCCTGCACAGGAGCTCCCATTCCCACAGATGCTCTTATTCCTGCTGGTGGACCCCATCCAGGTACTGGCCCTTGAAGTTGAGCTGCTGTTCCTGTATTGCCATTTGGAGCACTCCAACTTGGAGTTGCAACCCAACCAGGATGTACATTTCCAGACGCAGGCCCTTGAACAGTAGCTCCAGAATTTCCGGCAGGAACCACGCAATCAGAAGTTGCATTTCCAGTGGGCTGCACTTGAACAGGTACCCAATTCATGTTCATACTTCCTGGTGTTTGAGTCCCCCAGGCTGTATTAGGATTTGCTTGCATTGTACCCCAGCCAGGGTTTGGGTTTTCAGCCCAAGGGGCATTTGCCATCCCAGGGGACTGCAAGTTGGATTGAATGGCAGAAGTTGGAGGTCGCCAAAAATCAGGTTGAGGAATAACTGCAGAACCTGAATTTGAGGAATTTCCAGCAGAATTATTAACAGTTGACATAATGCCACCCCAACCATGAGCTTGGTGTTGTCCAGACTGTGGAATAAACACATTGGGCTCTACCTTCTGACTAGGAGCACTATCCGAACCATGAGGTTCAAGTTGATGGTCTCGACTAATAACAGATTGAACTGGCTGGACGGTCATATTTTGTGCGGTAGGCAGATGGCCATGCATCTGTACTACATGTGGTTCACTAGTCATAGTTGACTTGGGCGTTTGACGAAAATCTCTAGATATTAGTCCACCTTGTTCAGGTTTAGGTGCTGGACTAGAAGCAGCCAAAGAACCAAGTACTGAAGAAGCAGCAGAAGAATCAGTCCTGTTTTGTGACAATGCTGCAGCAGGTGAAGTGAGCACTGCATTGAGAGCGGGATGTTGAGTTTCAACTGGGAGAGGACCCCCTTCTCCAGTCCAACCTCCATTAATTTGTTTCAGGGTAGGAGATGGAACGACTGATGAATCATTTCCAAAACTTCGATCGGTGGAGAGATTAGGGTTCTGCACAGGCTTTTGTTCAGCAATCAATCTCTTCATATCCTGGTGTAAGGAAGTTTCAAGAGTCATAGCAGAATGATCAGATGAAATATGAGGATTATGCAGTTTATTGCGAACTTCTGGTAACTCTTTTTGACACTTCCCTGCCAAAGCATCAGTCAGAAGTATAGAGTCTTCTTGCTTTTCTTCAGTTCTCCAAATTCTTAGCCCTGTGGGGAAATACCCTGTATTGCTCCATTTACGCAATTGCACCAAGGAAAATGGTCCTTGTACTTTTCCAGAAGGATCTTGATAAAGCCACGTCTTTTCGGTTTCATTGATTTTGACAGCAGAAGTTTCTACTATCCCAGCAGAGAGAGGTGCTGGGGAAGTGAGCGAAGAAACAGCAGAAACTGGGACATTCCGTTCAACAGATTCAGAATTTGTTGAACCAGAATTAGTAGTTGAACTCGGCTTCTCCAAACAGTTAGATTGCTGGGTGCATGATTCTTTCTCTGTTCCTTGATTCCATGAATTTTCATTCACTTTCTCGACAATTTGGATAGCATCGGCTGAAATATTTTTACCAGACAGATTTCTGCTTAATTCCCAGCTCTTAGTTGAATTTCTCTCACCACCACTCCAAGAATCTACAGCAGAAAAATCACTTCCAGGAGAGATTGGTCCCCTTTCTCTCCTACTAAAATCTGAACCTCTGGAGCCGATGTAAGCATCTGGTGCCCATGTAATGTTCATAATTAGAACTCCATAATCATTACATTGACAAGATATCAAATTAGAAAAGAAGGTAGCAAAAAAGACAATGTAACCTCTTGGACTTTCATCAGTTTCACTGCCATCATCATCAGACTCGTAGTTTGGATCCATTTTTGGATCTGCATGTATTTTAGGAATTTCTGCCAGTCTACGTCGACGCTCATCAGGGGTCTTCAAAAGCTGTAATTTCTCCACACACTCTCTAAGCGTGAAAATCCGTCAAGGATAACTTAAATTTCTACGGATAAAAACAAAGTCAGAATGAGCACACAAGGTCAAGCCACATCAAATGATGATTGCCACTGAACCTGTACATGATTATTCACAATAGTCAACGTTTGAAGACATCAACTGTTACCAAAAGAGGGGTCTGCTCAGCTTCAATCTTCATATGCATAATGTGATATTTTTCTTTAAATTTTGAAATCCTAACAAGAAGTTGAAAAAACAACTCTAATTTTACCCCAGATGAGAGAATTTTAGCACTCCTATTGTCGTAAAACAAGCCAGAATTGTAGAACTACCAATTTACATCGTTTCCACTTGAAAACAATTTTCCATGCTTCATGTATAGAAGTTAGTTTGGCATTCAGCATCAGACATTCAAACAACATCAGGCAAAGCAAGGAAAAAAGGTCTTCATAACGCCCAAGGTAACAAGTTTTGCAACCAATACAAAACTTGTTTGAAAAATAAAAAAATTAAGCCCTGAATAGACTGTAAGTCACATAGATGACATCATTTTGCATAGAAGTAATTAAACTACAATGGGAAACAATGAAGCACGCTTTTAGCAATATTTCTAGATGGAATCTCAGATTACACAGTTCACTTCATTCTTGGAATTCAGTTATAGGCTTTACAGTTGTAAAGATGGATGTCAAAGGAATATTTGTATACATACATAATATATATGAAATCATGAAAGAACCTTGGTCGCAAAATCAAATAGCACCATGGTGACATATCATATATACAAACAAAGACGAGTAATTATCCATTGAACTGCTAGCCACAGATTCAACAACCTTCTGAAAACAAATGCACAATCTAATGTTCCAGGGAAATATAAAACTATAAACTTAAGTTAATAAAATTAAGGGGAAAAGGATATTCCTTCCTACGTCCTAAATCACTTGCTCTATCACGAAGATGACCAAGCCGCAAAATCTCGGATTCCAGCCACTGCACAGAACCATAATGAAATAAGAAGAACACACATCAAAAAAATGAATGCATAAGCCCTCAAATTTCAGTTAGCATCCAAAGTCCAAGAAATCATTCAGAAACTTCAATCACAAAGAAAATCTGAATGCACAAATCAGCCTATAGTATATAAATATGGAAATATTTCTTTCCTCCCTCCTTTCCCCAACCTTTTGTTCAAACTTCCCATTTTTCATTTAATTATTCTCTTGTGGGATGTTACATGATAGGTCATTGCAGAATGCATGAAAGGGAATTATACAAACACCAGACCCTAAAAATAAGAAAACGGAAAAAAGGAGTTGGAGACACTGTTATCAAAAGCGTTGAAGGCAGATCCCTTGAGGCACCTTGTGCAAGGCATTCTTTAGAAGCTTCAAAGCTTACACTTCGGGTGCCTTCGTCAAGGATTTCTCTTTACCTTACTTGAGCATACACCTCAGGGATAGCCTTAGGGTGGTCGAGGCATGCAAAAGAAACTTCACCATTCAAACATGTTACTGTTAAAAGGACGCGTAACCACAGTAACCCTGGGGCCTTGACCAGGCTGATGGTTGGACTAGGTAAATAACAGTGGTTTGTGATCAGGATGACAGCATATGGAATTTGCGTTACTTAAAAAAGTTGTTTGAGGCTTACACCTTGATCTAGGCTCACATGAGGCTTTCATTGAGCACCTTGAAACTTACTTTATCGAGGCTTGCACCTAAATGGTGAAGCTTACACCGCAAGACTAACCCTTGCCTTTTCTAGACATTTTATTAGCTATTTTTGAGAACGTTTTACAGGTTCTTTTTTTCTTTTTCTTTTTTTTGGGGCTTTAAACAGAAGGGGAAGCAGGAAGGCATGGTTGCTAGTGGACAGTGATGACAGAGAATGAGAAGCAACTGAAAATGATGAGGATTAGAGTAATCAAATATATTGATGATAACTATATCTATCGTGATATTATGGAAGACTTTAGGTTGTTTCTACTGGTACATCACAATTTTGTCATGTGATTAATAATTTAAAAATTTATTATTTGCTACTTTGTTAATCTATCTTATACTTATTTGCAGCTTAAACTTTTAAATTTGTATCTATCTTGTTATAGATTTTCAAGATGGTTTACAGTTCATCATGAGAATAATTTTGTACTTTTTATATTCTTTTGAATTATTTTATTGGTTTGTCTTGAGGCTTATGCCTAAAAAAACATCAAGGCCCATGCCAACTCAAAGAGGTAAGGTACCATGGCACCCGATTTAGCCTTTTCTAATTTTGAGTTTGTCGTACACTTTTTTCCCAACACGTGACAGACTTTCAAAGATCAGAGCTTTTACCTAAACAGGTAGCACCTTATTTCCTAGATAAGCTCTTAAAGAGCATATAAGCATCAAAAGTGCTAATGTGCTTATTGCTGCTAATGTTCTCTTTGTATGGAGGAAAACACAATTAAGCCTATGTTTCGGCCCCATTTTTTCAGAACTCATTTTCATACACATTCTCCCAAAAAATAATTTTACACGTAAACCGAAAATTTTTCTTCTTTTTTAACCACATATTCTCCAAAAATTTACTATTCCAAAATATATTTTTCTCACAAAAATGGCTCTCAAACAGGGACTAAAAGTCTCAAATAAATCCACTGTCTCTTCAAGCAAACAGTTCCCAAAGAATTCATTCAAATCCTTTCCTAAAGGTGTCTCAATAATGCAGTTCTAAAGGCTAATGGCATATACACTTATGCATTGGCAGCAAGCTAATGAAGGCACAAATTATCACCTCTTAGAGTGGTACACGATCATTCACGAAAAAAATTTGCTTCCAAGTTAGGAAATAGCATTGACAACATTTAGTCAGTAAACAAAAACACATTTAATTATTATCCAACAGTTAGTGGTTAATCAAATATCTTTCAAGCAAAAATTAGGAGAAATAACATACATCATTCACTCTGGCTGCCTGTATTTCCAAGGCCTTTTCAAGAATGTCACCCTACAATAACGAGCATCATTAATTATGATGTCAATAACAAGCAGTAAGTGAAAGATGGAGGGAAGCGTATAAATACCACAGTCAGCCTGCTGATAAGACCACATTTGATACTCTGGCGAAGCCGCTTGCATTCTTCCTGGAAAATTAAAAGAGAAGGTATACAATTAAGTTTTTGTAACTATTTTATTTTCATTCATCACTAGGGGATCCTATCAACTTGTTCCGGCCTAGGATAATAAGCTCATGAGCTTGGTTTTACTTGATATTATAATAAACACAGTAAGGATTGACAATTTAGTTTTGCAGCCAATTTCAGATTGAGGTGTCACTGCCTTCATTTTCATTGGAAAAGAAGTCTGAAATAGCAAATCTATAAACCAGGCATCAATATTGGAAACTTAAAAGGCTGATTCACTTCTACAATTGACCACCGGAAGGCGGAAATCAAATTTGTCCAATCTTACCACCATTTGAATAGCATTTAAGTGAAATACATATCAACCTCAAGTCTGTTAGGAGATTCAATTATTTACACTCTGACAAGGATACTGAAGCACAATAAGCAGACAGCTGGACTATGTCTTACATGGGAATCCTAGCTTAGCTTGATCAATTATTTCCTGCTAATTAGTAATTGAAATTGTGCACATGTACTGGGTTCAAAAACAAACCCACAAGGAAATTCCTTTCATTGCAACAAAAGGGCACACTAAGTCACAGACTTTTCTTTGGTCAAGGGCAGGAAGGTAGGGGAGATGGTGGTTTTCTTTGTTTTTAATGATATTTTATGCTAGGAGAGGAAAAAAGGGCTCCTTCAAAGTCAAATCAATCACCTCGGTGAAATCTTGATTTGAGACAATATCAATTGATATGATCTCTGTCTTGTTTAGATTTAATATCTCCAGCATAATGTCAGATGTCCTTTTGCCAATTTTGTATGGTTCAGTAGCTGTGCTTGTACCTGCATAGAAAATAATTAGAAAGACAATTGCCAACCTTAAGTTCCTTGAAGATAATAAAAAACACAATCCTAGCTAGCTCAAAGAGTCAAGGCAATAAAAGGAAAGTTACAAATGATTACCTACAACTTGCACTAGTCTATACATATCTTGCTTCTGAAAACTGCCAGAAATTCTTATCCTCACAAACATTCCAACAACTTTATCATGAAACGTCTCAACATCTTCAAGTAGATCCTCCATCAACTTCCTCCGTAGGTAAATTAATCTAATGTTGTGCATGTTGATTGCTGCATATTCAGCAACATTAGATTGAGGGGCATGGTTGTAACCTTTTTTACGTATTTTACGTTTCCTATCTTTGACCCCCTTGGTTAGGGTGTCAGCATTCCCATCAACTTCCAACTGGTCACTTTCAGTGTCAACAACACTCCCTTGAACATCATCCATTGGTGAATCCTTTTTTAAAAGAAAATGAGTTTCAAGAAGTTTTAACATCTCAAAATGTCCAACACGTGATTTTCCAAATAGATTTTCAAATCTGGTATCACATCTAATTTGACTTTTCCGATGAGGGTCACGAAGTTTGTTTCTTTTGATATATTCAAGCAAGAGAGCTTGTACAGCAAACTGAGATAGGACAGATGTGTCACCATTTTTCATGTGTGAAACAAATTCAAGAAGCTCTTCAGATGCCCACTTGGTGTCATCTGATACGGAATTGCATTCATTTCCTGCTGTTGCACCTGAACTTACTGATTCCTCTTTTTTGGATGGGGATTTTGATCGTTTCTTTAGCTTTCTTCTCTTACATTTATGGATTTCTAATTTTTCTGTAGCCTCAGAGCCAGATCCCCCTCCATCATTAGCATCTACATGTGCCTCAGATGACACTTGTTTGATGGTGCCAGCTGTTCCCTTCCATGGATTCTTAGCATCAGCAACTTCAACTGAAGATAGGTTAAGCTTCGACTTCAGTTCTATATAGTAATCTTTGAAGAGATACTCCCAGCTACTTCTGTCATCAAAATCTATTTGAGCCTGCATCAGTCGAGGACAAGAGTAGACAATCAGAATCCTACATAAAAAAATTTATCTCTCTCTTTGGGAGTTGGGGTGGGGAATTGGGTTGGGGATGCAGTTTATATATACCATCAATAAATTGAAAAGTGTAATATTTTCACGAAATAATTTCTTGAAGCATACGGAAAAAATAAAAATAGAAAAAGAAGTGCGAAGCTTAACAAAATACCAAGAGAAATCAATATATAATCATAATCAAAACAAGACAATACCTTGCCACGAGAAATTGGAAATAAATATTTGGTGGCAAATGGAAAAGTCTATTGGATACTTGGATGTCATGCTAAAGCAAAATGCCTACTTTCTCCCAACTAAATGTTTCATTGAGATGTTCTTAAATACAGCACATTAAAAAACTAAATATCACAGGTTCTTATAACGGGGTTAATATAATTGCCTATCATTAAAAAAAAAAAAAAAAAAAAAAAAAAAAAAAAAGGTTCGTGTAATTATAAATTTAAAATTTCAAAATTACACGTGTGAGTTAAACTGAATGGATGAAGACGTGTCCTCAGAGGAGGAGAATTCTAGACATAATCAGAAGGAAACAATTTCATTAATCCTCATTCCTTGGAGAACAAAAATTTTATGTCCCTACATCACATAAGGATGTGTAACCACAATCAAGTGATCAAACACAACTGCATACACATAGTTTCCAAAAGTTGAGCAGAAGACATGACAGGGTTCACTGACACAAAACAATTACACAACATTACATGCAAATAAGATGTCCAGGGGTGCAGAATTTTCTCAAGCATAGGTATAGGGAACTTTTCGTCCCAATTTTTCAGGGATCAAATGAATACCTACTCAAAGATTCTTAGTCTAACTTAAGCAGTCTTTGACATTAAGAGTGTGATCTTGTAAATTGTATGAAGTATCCCTTAACCTGTTTAGTCATATATATATAGGAACCATAATCTCAATGCTAACTGAACCGTGGGTTACAATACAGATTATAGACGATACTGAAAGCACTTCTCTAACTGACAATGAAAAGTTTCCTCAAAATCCTATAATGCTGAAGTACAGCCAATAAATTCGTGCCAAATTACAGTCAGTAAATGACAACCAAATATATTGAACCACAGACACATAAATGTCAGAAACAAATTCAAAGGGTAGAGTTTAATTTCTAACCCCAGCAGGCAAACTTTGATGGAGCAACAGTAGGTAGGCTTGTGCGTCAGAAG